TGTAACCTTATAAATAAATCTTTCAGGTATATAGGGCACATATTAATAAAAAGAGAGGGAACTGAAGCCCAGCATGGGAACATTATAACATCGGGAGTTTGGCTACTTAGGGACACTATTACCTATTCGCTGAGTGACAAGTTACTGAAGCTCTCTAAGCCTCAGTTAACTAACCTATAAATCGAGGTGGTGGAATAATTTACAAGAAAAGCATTATAAGAGTAGTGCCTATCACCTTGGAAATACTGACAAAAATTATCATTATTTGGGTTGGCAAAATGTCAGTTGGTTATGAGTTTGGAGAAATAATCTATGCTGACCTCTATAGATATACAGGTGACCCTTGAACAACATGAGTTTGAACTGTATGGGTTCACTTATACCTGGATTTTTTTCAATAAATACTATAAATGTGTTTTCCTTATGACTTTCTTAATATTTTTTCTCTAGCTTATTTTATTGTAGGACTTACAGTATATAATACATATAACATAGAAAATATGTGTTGTTTATGTTATCATTAAGGCTATTAATAGTTAAGTGTTTGGGGAGTCTAAAGTTATATGTGGATTTTCAACTGCATGGGGTTGGCACCCCTCAATCCTGTGTTGTTCAGGGGTCAATTATATTCACTTTCTCCCTAGCTTATGTTCTTTCTTCCCTGGTGTATATTCTTCCTCACTCTTTTCAAATCTTACCAGGGGCACATGTATCTATTAGTCTGAGTAGGCCCAACCTTATTTTAGTCTCAAGGACTCTATCATTCCTCATTCTATACGCCCAACCCTAACACCTGCTTGATAACCATGCTATTGTGGGGTTTGTAGAATTTGGGGAAAAGATTTAGAGCTCTGCTGTTCTTTCTCTCACTAGACTTTTCCATATCAATTAAAAAATGTTTTAAAAATCCTCACCTGAGGATATTTTTTCCATTTATCTTCAGACAGAGTGGGAGGGAGGGGGGAGGAGGGGGGAAGAGAGGGAGAGGGGGAGAGGGAGAGAGAGAGAGAGAGAGAGAGAGAGAGAGAGAGAGAGAGAAACATCCATGTGAGAGAGACATCAACTGGTTGCCTCCTGCATGACCTCAACCAGGGCTGGGGACTGAACCGCAACTGAGGTACGTGCCTATGACCGGAATCAAACTTGTGACTCTTTGGTCCTCGGGCCAATGCTCTAACCACTGACCCAAACTGGACAGGGCTTCATATCAAATTTTAATCTAGGCTTAGGGTATTTAAAAATATATTTGATTAAAATTAATATTGTGCATTTAATAAAATAGAAAAATCCAATTAAATTAGGTATCAGTTGACAAAAGTAAACTTGCTTTAAAAGCAGTAACCAGGTAAAGCAAAATGGCAGAGAGACTGTATCCCCAAATATCTCTACCCATAACAATTCCAAGACAATTATTTTTCCTCCTCTCCAAGGATTTGAATACAAACACACAGAAGCGTAACTCTATTATCTCAGTAAACATCCCCAACAGGGATCAAGTTATTTGGGAATGCTACCAATGAAGGAAAAAAAATGTATTATATATTGAAAAACACATAATTTCATTTAAAAGGGCAATATTTTAGCTCTTAAGTATAGAATTTATATTAGGTTGCTATAATAATTTTCAAATGGGAAGGGAGAGTAATTTACCCATCTTTGGAATTTGAAGCTTCGATATTGATTAGACAGTGTGGTACAGGAATGAGTTAGGAAATGTGAATTTTTTTTTTTTTATCTTCACCCGAGGACATTTTTCCATTTTTTTGTTCAGAGAGAGTGGAAGGGAGAGAGAGAGAGAAACATTGATGTGAAAGGGACACATGGAGTGGCTGCCACCCACACGACCCAACCAGGGCCAGGGACAAACTGCAACGGAGGTACATGCCCTTAGCAGGAACTGAACCTGGGTCTCTACGGACCACAGGCCAACGCTCTAACTGCTAAGCCAAACCGGCCAGGGCAGGAAATGTGAATTTAACGGATGCTTTGTTATTAACTAGCTGAGTGACTTGGATTAGACATTTAACTCTTTTGGACTTCAAGTATCATGTTCTTAAAATGAGGAATCTGGATTTGATAATCTCCAAGGTTCCTTCCAGATGTAAACTTTCACATTATAGCCAACATTCAGTTCACTTATAAGGAACAGTTAACTAGTACCTACTATTGAAAGCACTGTACTAGGTACTAGGGACATAATGTAACAAGTTTCCTGCTCTCAAAGTTTTATAATCTTGTGCATTATTAAACTGATGGGATAATATTTACAGAATATTATGTAGTCATTTAATTATACCTATTTTATTATTCAAAAACATGTGGGGGGCAATGAGGTTTAGCAGACCAAGAATGAGCTTTGCCTCTCAATCTTCAGGCTGTGGCTGACCTACTACAAAGATCTGTGTAAATTACTCTCTAAGTCTGTTTTTTTATTTTTTATCTTCACCCGAGGACATTTTTGCATTTATCTTCACATAGAGCAGGAGGAGGCAGAGAGGGTAAAAGAGAGACAAAGAAACATCGACCTGAGAGAGACACAGTGAATGGTTGCCACCCACACGACCCCAACCAGGGCTGGGGACAAACTGCAATCGAGGTATGTGCCCTTAGCGGAACCGAACCCGGGACTCTCCAGTCCACAGGCCGACACTCTAACCAATTAGCCAAACCGGCCAGGGCTCTAAGTCTGTTTTTTATTTGAAAATAATCATATTGACTCAACTGAAAAAAATAACAATGGCTGTACACTGTACACTTTTTTTGAGACACCATATTCTAGAAGAGTGCTTGGTGTTAGGGACAAAGTAGCTGGCAGGTCCCTCATGCAGCTTAATTGTTGTTACATACATTATTACAAAGTTTGCTGCAAATAAATTCATATAGCAAATGGCTACCTAAAACAAAATAATTGTGGACTTATTTGAATTTTAGAGGTGTCAAGAAGCAAGCCTAGCCCTGGCCGGTTTGGCTCTGCAGTTGGAGCGTCGGCCTGTGGACCAGAGAGTCCTGGGTTCGGTTCCTGCTAGGGGCTCGTACCAAAAAAAAAAAAAAAAAGAGAGAGAAGCAAGCCTATTTCTGTGCAAAATAACATCTGTCTCTGAGCCCTTGAAGTATGATGATGAGCAATAAAAAACCATACAGATAGTACATATACAAAATATGAACTTTATAAACTATACATAGTTTATTATTTCCTAGATGCAGAATAGGTTGAAGACATAAGTGGAATAAAGAATGCAGAAGCAGCTTTTCTGCTGAGAGTAAGGACAGACATTCTGACAATTTGCCAGACAAGAATGGCCTATCTTAGAGTCCAGAGGTACCTACCAGTCCCCATGGGGCCCAGCTGAGCTCTGTCAGGTTAAAGGTCACCAATATGGATGATATTCTTGTCTTGAGAAGGAACCTGAAGTGGATTCAGGTTCAATTGTGAGATTCTAGGATTAAATGAAATGATTTATAAATGTTTGAATGATAGAAATATCATAAATTATATTTTATAAATGATAAGGATGTAATTTATTAATGCAACATTAGGGATTAAATGGGATGTAATATATTGTAACCCTAGTGGTGTGGGATAGGGGAACTGATTTGATTCCATTCTTCAAGTATCTTGTGTTTGGTGTAACGTTACGCCCTGATTTGAAACCTAAATTTCAAAACTCTGCAACCCAGAAGACTTGGCTGTAGAAATGTAAAACCAAAACGACCCGTTGTTTGTGGTATCATCCATTCTCTGAGGCAGGATCAGTAGAACCCCCCAATGCCAGCTGGGGCAGGACCTTGGGATACAGGGAGGTGGTGCACAGTATGCTGTGGTTGGGGTAGGAGGGAGCAATCCTCCATTAATACCTCAAAATAATTATTACTCATTATAATAATGTGGCGATTGTGACAAATTGGTTTGAAAGCATTGAGAAAAGTAGTCAGAACTCAAGAAAATGGTGCACCTTCTTGACATAGGAAACTCAGTGGTCAGAATTCACCTAAATTAACGTCTTCCTCTGCCAAGTAACAGCCAATTCTGTTTTCTGTACCGCTCTTCCCAGTGTCAATGACTTAGGTTGTTTTAACTTACTCTAGTCCTTGGAGGGTCGGTGACCTGCGGAAGTGCCTGACTGAGCCAGAAGCTCAGAGCGTGGCCCTGGATTTCCTGTAGGCGGTCTGAAGCTTGCAGATGTGTGTATGACAGACAATGCCTGCAACATTCGAAGCCTTAGAACACAGCCCATTTGTGATGATGGGCGAAGTGTGTTAACTCTGGAAAAGAAGTGCATTTCGAAAACAGCGAGAAAATGGAGTGTTGTACAAGAAATGGGAGTTTCTTCCTCACCAGAGGGTTTGTTGGAACTGAAGACGCGGTCATTCTTTATCCAGTTTCCAGCTGTAGAAAACAGCTAGCAAGAGAAGTGCCAGTCCAAGTTCGGCATGGACTGGGTTCCTGCAGAGAGCCGCTCTGAGGCGTGCGAGACAAGTGGGAGATCCGACGCGTTGCGCCCGGCACGAAGATGGGTTGTCTCTCTCACTCGTTGCAGCAAGATACAGACTGCCCCGACTGCACCTCCCCTTCTAGGTTTTTCTGGGAACACTTCGCGTGCTTTGTTTCAGACGCCGACCCATCTTTCTTGGTTGGTCTGCTGCTCCACCAATCCTGCAGGCGCCTGGGCGGAGCTTCAGGGTCAAGGTGGACCAATTCCCTAGCCTCGCCCCTACACGCGCTTTTGGACCCCCGGGGATGAGTGACAGCAGCCGGGTCCAATCTGATACTCCACAGAGTGGTCTCCGCTAGGGGCGTTACGGGGACGAGGCGCCGGGACCAATCGCATTGGACTTTAGGGAGTGGGGCCTCCTTGACCGCTCCAGAACGGTGCTCTCTGCACTCCTTTTGTCAAATGAGAGACGCGGAGGGGCGGTTCCTCAGCTGAGGTTCAGCCAATGGAGGAGGCGAGGTGGGCGGGTTCGGAGTGCCTGGCGGCGGGTCCTCAGCTCCCAGCCGAGGTGCGGCGAGCCGGTGGGGATACCGCGAGGCGAGCGCGGGATCCTGGGCGGCTAGCAGGGTGTGAGCTGTCCGAAAATGCACTCGGATGCTGCCGCTGTCAGTGAGTAACAGCGAGAGGGGGCTTGGACTGGGCAGCTGCCAACACTCTCCACTTGGGTTTCGTAGTCCCTGCGCCGGCGCCTCCTGTCCCGTAAAGCGCTGGGAGCCCCTGCCCAGGAGCCACCCCTTCCCCTTCTGGGGCCGGGGCCGGTGGTGACGCCTTGGGAGGCTGGGGCGGGGGCGGGCGTCGGGGGAAGGGGCCGGCCTGCTAGGGGAGGGCGGAGGTGAGGGGGGTGGGGACTGGCTCCTTTTCAGTGTTGGGGGAAGGGGGGGCGGGACCTGCGATGAAGGGCCGGGACTGGAGTGTCTGGGGTGAATGGAGGTGGAAGCGGTGGCGGGCACTAGCGGGCAGGGCCGAGGGTGGCATCAGAGTGAGAGAGAGGGTGTGAGCGAGCAGGGCGCAGGGGTGAGGATTTCCTAGGGGCTGAGCGGTGCGGGCGGCTTGGTGAGAAAGGCGGGTGCGTGCTAGGGGGAGCGCGGGGGCGGGGACAATGGGAAGAAGGGCTGGTTGGCGGGGGTGGGGGGAACAATGGGGTGGGGGAATGGGGGCAGTGGCCGAGCGGGGCTGGAGGGCGGGCGAAGAGATGAGGGCTGATGTAACGGGAGAGCTAGGTGGTAGGAGGGATTGGGGTGTGATGGGATAGTTGGGGAGTCAAGCGGGCGGAGGAGCATTGGAAGGCTGGTGGGGTAACTGGGAGTGGTGAGGGGGTAGATGTTGGGGTAACAGGATGGAGCAGGTGTTGGAAGACTCAGTAATTGGGTGTAAGAGGAGAGGAAGGAGGAGAGGGTTTGGGGTATAGGATGGGGGCAGGGGTAAAGGAGGTGCGGTGTGGGTGAAGAGCTAGTTGGGAGGAAAGGGAGGTTGGGAGGGGCCGGGGTAGGGGCTGGACTGTCAAGTCCAGATTCCATCTGTGTGGGGCTTGGGGGTGGGAGGGGGCGGTGTCAGACTGTGTTTTGGGAGGTGTTTCTTCCTCTGCCCCCATTAAGGCAGGGTCTCTGGAGTACGGAACCCTGAGCCTCGGGGTGTGGGGAGAGAAGGGGGCGGGGTTGAGGTGGAGGGGGCGGGGGAGGTGCCCCGAGGTTGGCGCTGGCCACGATTCCCCGATTCCCCTGGAGCAGCCAGCGGGTAGGGAGGTCAGCGCTGGCGCGGCTCTGGTTGCAGGACTGGGAGGCGGGGCAGAGGTGCAGGCTGCGGGTTTTCCGCAGGGGGAGCCGGAGGGGTCGGGCCCTGGAGGCCGGGTGGGGGTATTTTGCGCAGGGGAGGTGTCGGGGTCCCTGGCGGTCCCTGGATTTGGTCGTCTGTGACGCAGTTTTCTAATATTTGGTCGTCAGGTGTGGAGGCTGGTGCCTGGGGACCCGCTTCCTTGCGTGGGTGCGCAGGGTCAGAGGCCCCGCATAGCGCCTGGGGGGCGCAACCTCTCCCAGGCTTGTGGGAAGAGTGCTTTAGGGGTTTCCTTTAGGGTCTGGCTCCAGTTGCCCGGTGTGAAGGGGAAAGGCGGTCCTATGGAATTCTGGGACTTGTAGTCCTGACCGCGGTTGGGTTGGGTGCACGTGGGTAACTGTGGAAACGAGTCCCAGAATGCAGCGCGCCCCTCGGAGCCTCCCTTCTTCTAACTCGTACTTTATTCCCAGCGGACCCCAGAGTGCTCTCCTGAGGCTCTTCTGTCCCCTGAGACTGGAAAAGGTTCACTAGACCTTCTCCCTTTGTTAGCGGGAGGGGGAGAACCAAGCCAAGTGTAGTCCTTTCACACTTGGGTTCTTGATCCTGTACTTGATTATTTATCCCTTTCATTTGGTGGCCTTATTTGTAGCATAAATGCTTAGTCTTGAACCATCTAGCACATAGGTTGTGGGAAAAACATTCAAGATACAATACAACATAAAATAGCGTTTAGGATGGTGTATTTATTGTGGCATCTGTTGTGTGTGAACACGATGTAAAAAGGTTCAGTCTTACATAAATGTGGGAGGAGTGCAGTGGAAAAAAATGTGACCCTTGTAAAGATAATATAAATTGTGTGTTTGTATTTCTTGGGCTGTCTGGATTGTCCAAGGATGAGGGTACTTTTTGAAAAAAAAAAAAAAAGATCTTGAATTGAGTGATGGAAGTGGCTAAATATAATTTAGGGTGGTCCCATTCACAAAGCCAATATGAAAATGTGAAGATGAATACAGGAAACATGTCTTCAGTTTTCAAAGAAGCATGGGAAGCAAATGAGACTAGAGGAAGGTAAACTCAGTGGAAGACTTTTAGAGGTTTTCATGTTTTTGCTTTTTTGCTGAGGCCTATAATTTCTTCTGTCTGCCTTTTTGATATTGGAGACTGTCTCCTTAACTTCCCAAATGTCACATCCTTTGTGGGATCCCTTTTCATTTATGTGCAGTGATTTAAAAAACCTGTAATATAGAGGGCCACAAGATTAGCTCAGAGATGACAGATCATTTTTATGTGGTAGATATTTTTGAAACTATTGGTAACATAGTCACTAGAAGAATATTATAATGACCCTAATGATAAAAATTTTACCAAAAAGTTCTAAGATTTGGAAACTTTTTAGTGTGGTTAGAAATACACTAAACTTGAGTACTTGATTTCATGATGGTTCATTTCATAATGGCTGAAAAACTGGGTAATGTGCAGGCTTTGGGGAAAGTAATTTATAGTTATATTTTATTTGTTTGTGGTGAAATATCCAGGAAACCATTTATGATATGCAAATATGTAATGTGGACATGTTTTTTAAAATGTACATTTAATCCTGGAATTTGCTCTCATAAAGGATAAAGTGTAGGAGGTTGAAGAGTTGTAATTGTTTCAAAATGGTGTTTTTGAAGAAAATATTAGGTTCGTCATTTGTTTCCCATTTTCTTTTTCTGTTACATTCCAAAAAGCAGGTGTCCTTTACATACAACCCACTCCCTGCCCTAGCCCTCCAAACCCTAGGTTTCTATACATTATCAGCTACTTTCTGCTCTGGTTTTTAGGTTCCTTGCTTTTTGGTCTTTGGAGAGGTCCTTTATTTTCTTGTGATCTTAGCTATGCATCTAAACAGATATTTCTAGACTTTACCCAGAATTTTTGGACTCTTATATTGGGAAGGATTTTTAAGTTGTCTATAACATTGCCAGAAAAGAAAGTCTCCCTAGTTATTTTCCACTTTAGAGCACTTCTATATATTTACACTTTTCTTCCTCTATTCCTGCCTCTAAGAAGTTCCCCTACTAACATGTGATCACATTTTTTTCAAATGTTATTATTTTCAGTTTTTATCTCTACATGCCCCCAGAAGTTCTTAACTTACTGCTTTCTTCTTGACTATAGTATGTTTGCATTATTCTCATTTCAATAGTAATCTTGTTAACTCAGCAGTTTAAAAATCAGCCTGTCAGAAACTGACCTTATGATGACCTCTGTTAGGATGCCTTTGTCAAGTAACAATACTCAATTAAAAATGGTTTAAATAATGGAGCTTATTGCCCGGCTGGTGTGGCTCAGTGGTTGAGTGTTGACCCATACACCAAGAGGTTGCCAGTTCGATTCCCAGACAGGGCACATGCCCAGGCTGTGGGCCCAACCCCCAGTGAGGGGCATGCAGGAGGTGGCCAATTGATGTTCTCTCTCATTGATGTCTCTCTCTCTCTCTCCTTCTCCCTTTCTCGCTCTTTCTAAAATCAATAAAGAAAAAAAAAATAGAGCTTATTGTCTAGTAGCAAAAAATGTAGAGATAAAACTTCTTATCTATCTTTTTGTCTAGGTTCTAAGGTTGGTGCAGCATCTTAATGATGACTTAAGAATCTATACTCTTCGCATCATTTTCTTTCTCTGTTCTTAGTATTCTGGCTTATCAAAAAGCCTCAGGCTCATTGCCTCCTGTTTGCAAATTGGTTGCTGCAGCACTGGACATCATGCCTATATAAGATAGGTAGGGAAGGAGTTTACTTACTTACAACTTCCTCTTAACAGAGAGGAGGAGTCTTTTTCAGAAGGTCACCTTGGAGACTTCTTTAGTTTCATTAGTTAGAACACATCTCATGCTACTTATGAGGGAGGTTGAGAAAGTGAAATCTGGCATTTTTCAGCTTCTGTCCTGTGATATGGCCTTTGCTAGGGTGGAAGAAGGGTGAGGAGAATGTTCTGGGTTGGCAGCCTACGGGTTAGATCCCTAAACCAGCTACTTTGTCTATCTGTGGCTAGGTGTCAGTCTTTTTTTTAATCCTCACCCGAGGATATTTTTCCATTTTTTTGTACAGATAGAGTGGGAGGGAGAGAGAGAGAGAAACATCGACGTGAAGGGACACATCGAGTGGCTGCCACCCGCGTGACCAACCAGGGCCGGGGACAAACTGCAACCGAAGTACGTGCCCTTAGCGGGAACCGAACCCGGGTCTCTCCGGACCGCAGGCCGACGCTCTAACCGCTGAGCCAAACTGGGCAGGGCAGGTCTCAGTCTTTTTATATGTTGATTTATTTTCTGCCTCATTCCAAAATAATTAGAGGTGACTTATGAAATATAGATTAAAATCCTGTTAAGAGAAGGAAAACAAACTATTTATAGGCTGCACACAAATGCTTGTCATATATTAGAAATAAGCCATATATTTGCCTCGGAGCTTCCTAATAGGCAAAACAAAGAGGAAAACAAGACCAATTAATTTTATTCATTTGGTTAATGAAACTACAGTTCATTTAATAACAACGCTAAAAGCTTAGACATTTCTCATCCTCTTTCCTTGGTTGGTAGTGAAAGAGAGGTTGCATCTCTTCTCATGCCTGTCCTCTCCTGTATCTATTGATTGCCATTGCCTTAGTTCTGATCTATCCTTTCTTATATTGTAATAACTAGTAATCCTTTTGCCTGGCTCAGCCTCCTGTAACTTTATCTTTTCCATCAGCAGTTGAATTATCTTTGTCCTTTTGATTCCCCTGCCCAGCAACGTCGAGGGCTCCCAGTTGCTTACTGGAATACAGACTCCTCAGAACCTGGGGTTGAACTGGCTTCT